TATATATGTATGTATGTATGTATAAGTGAATCACTTTGCTGTACAGCCGAAATTAACACAACATTGTAAATCAACTATACTTCAATTAAAAAAAAGAATGTTTTTATGTTTGTAAAGAAACCTGTCCATCTTTTCCTTGCGATTTCTTCCATTTTTCTCTAATCTTAAAAGATCATTCACTCAATCTAATGGCTAATTTTCTGTTGGATTCAAGAATTGATGGAGGGACTTCCCTGGTGGTCCAGTGGCTAAGACTCCGAGCTCACAATGCAGGGGGCCCAGGTTTGATCCCTGGTCAGGGAACTAGATCCCACATGCTGTAACTAAGAGTTTGCATGCCGCAACTAAAGATCCTGCACGCTGCAACTAAAGATCCCACATGCCTCAACTAAGACCTGTTGCAGCCAAATAAATAAATAAATAAGAATTGATGGAGATGTCTGAGTTGTTTTGTCATTTTTTTAATAAAAAAAGAGAGAAGAGGATTATTTCCTTTACTTTTTTTTTTTTTCATATATTTGACTTTCCTTGACTTTTTGCTTCAGTACCTTGAAATATGCTCACTGGAAGTTGGGGCTGTAGGAGGAAGTGTGTATATGTATACACAACAAAAAAAGTCTGGAAGAATGTGTACCAAAACATATTAACGCTGTTTTTTTTCTGACTGATGGGAGCACGGCTGGGATGGATTTGTTAGTTGTGCCTGCCCAGCACTGCTATTTCCTTTGGGCAAGATAGCCAACTTCATTCCCTGTGACTTTGGTGTGGCTGCCCATGACAGTACACTCACCCTGTATAGTACCTTATTCGTCTGGCAACAGTTCTGAGGGTAAAGGCGTAGGCATGTCACTCCAGCAGAGCCCATCGGAGTCCCTCCCTGAGACTGACACATGAAACTTGGTGTAGCTCCTCTTTTGCTGGGTTCAGTTGGAAAGTTGGGGCTGCCTCATACCATGCTTCCTGCCAGGTAGAGGAGATCCCTCTGCAGAGGAAAGGAAGCCGAAGTGTAAAGAAAAATCGAGACAAGGAGAGATGAGAGAAAGCAAATCCTCCAAGTACTGTGTCTCCAGTTCCAGTCTCACACCCTGATCCATGGTGTTCCTCATTCAATCTTGCCTCAGCTACTGTGAGCCATAGGTTCCTCTTTGGTGAAGTTGGCTTAGATTGGGATTCTATTACTTGACAAGTGAAAGAATCTAACCAATGGCAAGGAGATTTAGGGGAGGGAAATTGCCCCTTAGCCCCCTATCCCCAGGCAAACCAAGTCCCTTCTCTGAGCCTCAGTTTACACTAAAAGTAAATTTTAGCTGTCAAACTTTTAATTCCAATGGTATTCAAGGCATTTCACATACATCAGTCTCATAGAATTCTCGGGAGAATTCTGAGCCAGTCACCTATATTCCCATATTCCCAATGAAGAAACTGAGACTCAGAAAAGCAGAGTGTGACTCAGATAAGTTAGTCTCAGAAGCCTTTCTAGGGGGATTTCCCTGGTGGTGCAGTGGTTAAGAATCCACCTGCCAATGCAGGGGACATGGGTTGGAGCCCTGGGCCGGGAAGATCCCACATGCCACGGAGCAACTAAGCCCGTGCGCCACAACTACTGAGCCTGTGCTCTGGAGCCCACGAGCCACAACTGCTGAGCCCACGTGCCACAACTACTGAAGCCCGCACGCCTACTCTCGCCATAACTATAGAAAGCCCGCACGCAGCAACGAAGACCCAACGCAGCCAAAAATGAATAAATAAAATAAAGTAAATTTATAAAAAAGAAAAAGCCTTGGGCTTCCCTGGTGGGGCAGTGGTTGAGAGTCCGCCTGCCGATGCAGAGGACACGGGTTCGTGCCTCGGTCCGGGAGGATCCCACATGCCGCGGAGGGGCTGGGCCCGTGAGCCATGGCCACTGAGCCTGCGCGTCCGGAGCCTGTGCTCCGCAACGGGAGAGGCCACAACAGTGAGAGGCCCGCGTACCGCAAAAAGAAAAAAAAAAAAAATCCTTTTTAGGAACCTCTGCCATCTTCCTTTCTCACTGTAAAATGGGCATAATAAGTGACCACCCTCTGACACAGTCCTGAGGACAAGAGAGGGAAAAGCCAGTTGAAGTTGGGCTGGCGGTAAGCATTGTCCCTTCCCCATCTTCCTGGAAAATGCAGGAATTCAAGAGTTAGGGCTAGGGGCTTCCCTGGTGGCACAGTGGTTGAGAGTCCGCCTGCCGATGCGGGGGACACGGGTTCGTGCCCCGGTCCGGGAAGACCCCACATGCCGCGGAGCGGCTAGGCCCGTGAGCCATGGCCGCTGAGCCTGCGCGTCCGGAGCCTGTGCTCTGCAACGGGGTACCGCAAAAAAATAATAATAATAAAAAAAATAAAATAAAAAAAAGAGTCAGGGCTAGCACTGGGTGATGATGGAGGTGGAGTTGGGGTCCTCAGCAACGAGCCTCCTCTGGCTGGCTTCAGCCCATCCAGCCCCACCCCTACTTCCTGGGAGTTGCTGCCCCGCCCACACACACACCCCGGGCCACCTTCCCAAAGAAGGCCTTGTGCTAGAGGACGTCAGTCAGTTCCCTTGGCCCCCTGCCTACCTCTCCGGAGCACTTTTGGGCTTTCCCTCCCCAACCCGGCCCCGAGCCATCGGCCACTGGCGCCTGCCCAGTCACGTGGTCCTCTTTGGCCGACTTCCTCCAGGATCCTGATTTAACTCTCCCTCCTCCCCCCGTCCCTCCCCGCCCCAGGCTCTCAGGGCACCCTATAAAAATGTTTCTATTTGTAAAAATCTGGTATGTTTTCTACATTCCAGAGAAGCAATGAAATTCATCTGTGGAGAATGACCACCTTTTTACTTTGGGAAACTCTGGAAAGATCCACAAATATTTTTTCTTCCCCCACCATCCCCCCAAAGTGGGAAAAGTTGGGAGCCCTTGGGGTGTGTGTAGAGGGATAAAATAAAGCACAGAGATGCCAAGTCTCTTGTCCACGTTTCCCCAGCTTATGTTCCCCAGATGACATTTATGATATAAACTCCCAGAGCAATATTCATGAGAAAGAAGGAGGGGGGAGGGGGAGGGGAGGAGGGACAGGGTCCAACCTTAAGGGAGCTCACGGAACTGGTCTGAAAGGAACTCCAAGAGACGGGGTGAAAATGGCCAGCTTCCGGCATCAGACAGACTTGGGTTCGAATTCGACTCTGCTTCTGACCAACTGCTGATTCTGAACCTTTCATCTCTCTGTGCCTCAGTTGTTCCTTCTGTGAAACGGGGACCCTGCCGGGAGACGAAGGATGGAAAGACTCAAAGGGAGGTTCCAACCTGAACTAAGGGGTTCCCCCGCCCACCCCCGCCCCCAGCGCCCCCAGCGCCCCCAGCGCCCCTTCCCTAGCCCGGGAGCGGATCCTCACCTCCCAGTCCCTAGTCCCTCCGCCGCAGGCTCCTCCTCCTCTGACATCAGAGCCGCGGGCGGGCGGAGGGAGCCAGCTGAGTCCGAATCGAGCCCTAGCCCGAGAACGGGCGGGCGGGCCAAGCGCGCAGCAGCGGCGGACGGCGGACGGAGCTTGGCACCTGACAACTCGCGCCTCCCAGCCAGCCCCGCGGCTGGGCAGCCGCAGGTACAGTCCGGGAACCGCCCCGCCCGCAACCCTGGGCGCTGTCGGGCGGCGGAACCCTTCAGCCGCTGGATACCATACCCGAAAGATGGGAGGGGGTGCCTGGCCGTACTGGAGTCTACAGGGGCAGGGCTGGGCCTTTCTCCCCCACCTGCCCAGCAGGTGCCTTTAGTGAGTGGGTAAAAGGGAGGAAGAGGGGGACAGAGAGAGACAGAGAGAGAGAGAGAGAGAGAGAGAGAGAGCGCGAGAGAGAGAGCGCGGGAGAGAGGGAGACAGACCCTTCAGCTGGGCCTGAATGTGGAAGGTGGAAGGACTGGGCATTAGGAGATAAAGACGTGTGGGGGCCGTGTTGAATGTCATAGCACAGGCAAGTGAATCTGATATGAAGTTGCAGCATGTTGCTGTGTAAGGGTATCCGTATGGGTGGGGATGTCTGGGAATCAGTGTTTGGGCTGCACATTGTGTATCTAGGTGTTGTGTGTGCTGGGATCTGGCTCAAAGGGTAGTAAGTCAGAGTTGGGGGGTATACAGCTGTGTACTGAGGATGTTTGGAGTTAGATGTTTTGAGGATTTGGAGTTTAAGAGCTTCTAGGGTGTATAGGAGCTGGAGGGTGAAGGGTGTGAATGAATCTGGGATGTCTGGTATACAGGTGAGGGGGCTGTGTGTGTGTGTCTGTCCTGTCTGCATGTCATCTCGTCCAGGTGTATGTGGATGTGTGTTTTGGGGTGTGAGAGGGATCTGTGGGAGGGATGTCTGGGTGTGAGGATGTCTGAGGAAGTGTGTGTTTGGACATGTGTGCTGATGTCCGGGTGTACATGTATGATGAGATGTCAGAGCATCATCTGGAGATGGAGTGTGCTGGATCTGGGGGCAGGTGTTTGGGTTCAGGGGTGTGGGTGGGTCTTGGTGTCGTGTATCTGGCTGTAGGGATATGTGTGGAACTGTGAGGTTTGTATTTGCCAGGCCTCCAGGTGGGTTTTAAAATTCTGCCTCTAGAGCTTACCATCAAGTCTCCTTTCCTAGAAGTTTCTGCCCCTGGGATAGGTGGCCAGACCCCCCTGGGAACAAAGAGTGGGATCGCACATCAGGGGCTCTAGTCAGGGCACCTTCCCCTCATTTTCCCACAGAAGAAACAGAGAAGAAAAGTGCTCTCCCTGAGGTCACACAGGACACGGGTCTCTCTTTTGGCCTCACTTTCTGTGGGCCTGGGATGGGATTGAGAGGCTGTGTTCTCTGGATGGGTCCTAGTCTGGCTGCAGCCCCCTCCAAGGCCTTTACCTTCAGCAAGCTTAGCTGGGGCCCCAGCTAGGGTCATTGGGCAACTCTGGGTCCAGACCCTATCCATCGCCAACCTCAGTCTCCCCATTCTCCATCCGATGAATGGAGAGAGAATGCTCACCCTCTACTGCTGGTTGAGACAGACGTCTCAACAGAGAAATTGTACAGGCTGGATCAGGGTGAGATCAAGCCGGGAGGGGACAGGTTGGGTGGGACCATTTCTCAGGCTGCTGGGACCCAGATGGGGAGTCAGGAGTGAGAGGGGGGTAACAGGAGGTCCAGGGAGCTCCAGCTGTGGCTGCTGTTGCTGTGGTAACAGTGCAGAAGGAGCTATTTAAAAACATGGCTGAGATATTGCTGGAAGCCCAGGCTGCCGGAAAACTGATTTCCGAGAGGCCTGGCAGGGAGGAGGAGGAGGGAGAGGAGACACCCCAGCAATTCCCAGGGTGGGGCTGGGACATCGCTGGTTCTGGGGACGGGGGATCCTCCGGGGCTGTGCATTTCTACAAGCTGCTCTGGGGTCTTCTCTGCTGTCCTCCCAGAGGTCAGTGTCCCCCTGAGTGTTTGGATTTAGAGAGGGAGAAACTGGGAGGTGAGCTGAATAAACGAATGAATGAGTGACTTTGTTGAATAAAGAATTTTGCTGCCACTCTGAAGGATTTTCCTCTAGGCATAAGGATATGATGCATGGATGTTACCAAATGAACAAATGGCCTGTGAATGAGTGAAAGTTGAATGATTTTGTCAAATGAATGAATCAAGGAGTGAATAAACGCAGGCTGAATGGGGCCCCCAATAAGTTCCCACGAAGAAGGCTGGGCCTTGCTGAGTCTTTTCCTTCCATTCCCTTTCCCAGGAGCCCTGGCTGTGGCCAGGGGGCAGTGGGCCATGCCGGGGGCAGTGGAAGGCCCCAGCTGGAAGCAGGCGGAGGACATTGGGGACATTTACGACTTCCGTGATGTTCTGGGAACGTGAGTCTCAGGGCAGGAGAGGAGGGAGAGCTGTCCCTGAGCTGGGGTGGGGGGGTTGGGAAGGTCCTCACTCCTGGGCCTGACTGGCTGGGGAGGCTAAGTCCAGGGTGGTGCTTCCTCTAGCCAGTTGATCACTGCTTCCTGTTTCCTACTGCCCAGGCCCCATGGTGGCCTTGTATGGCCCGACTGGCCTGGGCTTCTCACTTCTGGCTGACAGTGGGTGGAACAGAGGCTGCTCTTGCCACAGCTCTGGGTTCCTGTGACGAGAAGAAAGTAAGAGGAATGAAGGAGCCAGTTTTTCAAACTTGCTGCCAAGAACTGGGGGTTCTGGCCTAGGTTTTGGAACTGAAGCTGGGCGTGGCTCTGTTCTCAGTGGTGGGAATCCAGAAATAACTCAAACCTGACCTCCCAAGTCGATCCCAAACACGTGAGGGAGACAGACCTATGGAAAACGACAACAGGGTGTGTGCTGTGCTCCAGCTAAACTCGGGAATGAGGACTTTGTTGAGCCCAGAGAGAGCAGTGTCTTCTGTGTGGAGAACTTTATGGAGAACGGAGTATTAGAGCTGGGGACTAAAGGATGGGTAGGAGTGTGCTTGTCAGAGAGGGAGAAGGCATTCCAGGCAGAAGGAATAGCATCAGCAAAGGTTCAGAGGTATGTTATGTGTGGAAGGAGAGAGTCTAGTGGAGCTTCTAATCAGAGGCTGGGGGAAGAGTGGAAGAAGAGGCTGAGAAGAGAGAGGAACAGGTCATGTGAGGCCTGAAAGCCAAGCTATGGAGGCTGGACTCGATCCCATGAGCCATAGGAAGACATTTAAGACTTTGTGGCAGATTTGCAATTCAGGATGGCCACTCCGGCCACAGCACAGAAGGTAAATTGGAGAGAGGGACAAGACTGGAAAGCAGCAACGAGGCTGTCACAGCCACTAGTTATTCTGATGATTGAGCTTTCACAAGAGATGCTTTTCTTTGACTTATGACTTCTTATTGTCCCAGGGAAAGCAAACCGTCCTAGAAAGCACACTCTAGTAAACCCTCCTTAATCAGTGAACTTTAGTGAAAATGAATGTGTTCCTTCCTAAGAGCCTGTTAGAAAGCATTGCTTCTCAAACTTCAGTGAGGATACACATCACCTGACAGTCTTGCTAAAATGCAGATTCTAGGGCTTCCCTGGTGGCGCAGTAGTTAAGAATCCGCCTGCCAATGCAGGGGACACAGGTTCGAGCCCTGGTCCGGGAAGATCCCACATGCCGCGGAGCAACTAAGCCTGTGCGCCACAACTACTGAGCCTGCGCTCTAGAGGCCGTGAGCCACAACTACTGAAGCCCGCGTGCCTAGAGCCCGTGCTCAACAAGAGAAGCCACCGCAATGAGAAGCCTGCGCACTGCAACAAAGGGTAGCCCCCGCTCGCCACAACTAGAGAAAGCCCGCGCGCAGCAACAAAGATCCAAGACAGCCAGAAATTAAATAATAAATAAAAATTAAAAATGCAGATTCTGATTTAGTAGGTCTATGGTGGGGCCTGAGATTCCACACTTCTGAAAAGTTCCCAGGTGATACTGATGGTTCTTCATGGTTCTAAAGGGTGTCAAATAAGCCATGACTCAAATTGGCTTTTGAAGAAAAAGGAGTGAATCAGTCATGCACATAATAAAAAAGCCTAGGGAGTAAACTTCAGGCATGGGATGCAGGGGCTCACATGATGTTATCAGGAAATTGTCTTTGACGGTTTCTCAGCTCTGATTTCCTTTGTGTTGGCTTCATTCTCAAGCAGGCTCTCCCCATGTGGTGGCAAAGATGACCACCATTAGCTCCAAGCTCACGTCTTACCAGCTTAGCAGGAAAGAGCACCTCATTCTCAAAGTGCCAGTAACCTGGCTTATATCACAGGACCCAATTACTGTGGCCAGGGGACAGACTACTCCGATAGTAGTAGAGGCTGGGTCACCTCTGGCACCAGGGAGGTGAATGAGTGATGGAGGGAGGCTCATCCCATCTCCTTGGTCTGGGGATGGTCAAGTAACCCATAGGGGGATGGAGGAGAGGCTGGAGGGAAGCTGAGTTCCCCACCTCGTGAATCCCCTCTCTCTGCAGAGGGGCCTTCTCAGAGGTAATCCTGGCAGAAGATAAGAGGACTCAGAAGCTGGTGGCCATCAAATGTATCGCCAAGAAGGCTCTGGAGGGCAAGGAGGGCAGCATGCAGAATGAGATTGCTGTCCTGCACAAGTACGTGAGCCACATCCTTTCCCTGCCCTGGGTTGACCCTGCCTTGACCCCTCCCATTCGCTTCCTGTCTCTGCTTTGGGCAAATCATCTAACCTCTCTGAGCCTCAAATTGCTCATTTGTAACACGAGGTAATAATCTCCACTTGGTAGGGATTTGGGGGAGCATTAGAGGTCCTTTATTTCAAGTGCCTGGCACAACAGCTAACGTGACAGATGTGACCGAGATGCCACTGCTTCTTTACAGTGGTTTAATGTCCAATCAGATCTAAAGGCCAGTCCTTGGACGTGTCTCGAACCCATGTTTCTCAACTGACGTTATCTCTAGACCTACCGCAAGTTCCTGCCACATATTAAACCACGCAGCAAGTTGAAAAATGCCCATCTGCGGATGCCCTGACTCAACAACCAAATGGTCTCCGAACTGTTCATGCTGATGGGAAACCTGCTGTTCTCACTGGAAAGCTCATATAGAATCTTCACTTCCAGCCTCCCCCCTGAGCTTTCCAACCACCATGGGCAGGGACGAAATAATCATTTCCACTATTGGGTCAGGAAGACTGAGGCCCGGAGAGGACAGAGGACTTGCCCAGGGTCACACAGCAAGTTTGTGGCAGAGCCAAATCTTCCATCAAACTCAGTTACCATCATTGGTTCATTTCTGGAGCGTTTACTGTGTGCCAGGCATTGTGCCGATTCTTCCCTGCATTTCCTCACATGATCCTCACTCCACCACTTGGAGGGAAGTACTGTCACGGGCTTCATATGATAGATGAAGAAACTGAGGCCCGGAGAGGTTACCCTCAATTCAGTGCATATGAGTGAGCACCCACTCTGCACCAGGTGTGGAGCAACAGTGGTGAACAAGATAAAGCTGCTGGTCTCGTGGAGATGACGTTCTGGTGGGGGAGGCTGACAACTTTATAAACCCAGACAAGTGTTAAAATCATATACTAATCAGCACTGTGAGGTGAGAAGACTTGCCCCCGAACAGCACGTGGTAGAGGCGGATGAGGACCCAGGTCTGTCTGACGCCGGAGCCCAGTGTTAACCCCTGTGGTTCTCCTGCCTTCCATGACACTATGATACATCATGGTAAATCAGCTTTTCCCTTTGAGACCCAGATCTTAGGCTCGTCCTGCCCAGGTTTGCAGGCGGTGGTTCTTCATGATGAGGGTGGGGAGGTGGCTGAACTGTCCTCACTTCTGAACCACCTCATTTCTCCTTTCAGGATTAAGCACCCCAACATTGTAGCCCTGGATGACATCTATGAAAGCGGGGGACACCTCTATCTCATCATGCAGCTGTGAGTGGCCCTGCCTCTGCCCCTTCCTCACAGCTCTCCCTGCTGCCCGCTCCCTGGCCTCTCTGCCTTCCGTTCTCTTGTCCAGACTGCCCTGTCCCTGGCTACAGGGTGTCAGGTGGGGAGCTGTTTGACCGAATTGTGGAAAAAGGCTTTTACACAGAGCGGGACGCCAGCCGCCTCATCTTCCAGGTGCTGGATGCCGTCAAGTACCTGCACGACCTGGGCATCGTACACCGAGACCTCAAGGTGGGTGTGAGGGTGTGTGGGGAGCTGGGGCACCCAGGGGTGGGGCCTCTGCAAGCTCCTGAGGCCCTGGGCGCCTCTCAGGCCCTTGCTGAGCCTTGCCTTCCCATCTGCAGAACTGGCCCGGAAAGCCCTAAACTGCTTCCTCCCCGGTCCACCTCTGACACACAAATGGACACAAAGGGCAACTGTGCTGTTATTTTATCCCAGTCGCATCTTATGTCTTTTTCTGATAATAAAAGTCCCACTTGCTCTTTGTAGAAAACTTGAATGGGGCAGCAAAACACAAAGAAGAAAGCCAGAAGCCCCTGAAAGCCTGCTCCTCAGAGACAATGATGGGGTTCACGTTCTGTAGTACATCTCATTCTGCTCTAGAAGAGTGCTGGGGTGAAGCAGATCTGGGTCCGAATTCTCTCCCTGCCACTCCCCTCCCTAACTGTAGATTCTCAGGCAAGTCACTTTGCCTCTCAAGGCATGAGTTTCCCCCGCTGTAAAGTGGGATTATTCAGAGTGGGCTAGCAGGGATGTGGTAAGGATAAACTGAAATCAAGCACAAGACAGGATCTGGCACACGGGAGCTCCTCAGAAATTCTTTAGGGTGTCACAGTACACACCTGAGGTTTGTAGGAAATTCCCTTCCATATCCCCGAGGCCCTTGTCCTTTTGGAACTTCGAACTTCACTGAGTTTCTTGTGCCTCCAACCAAGATGGCAGCTGTGATGCCACAGTGGCTTTTGTGGGGCTCGCTGGGGTGCTTGGGGAGGCAGAAGGTCCTGCTGGCCTCTGGCCATCTCCCACTCCTCTTCCCCCACCTCCCATCTTCCAAGCCAGAGAATCTGCTGTACTACAGCCTGGATGAAGACTCCAAGATCATGATCTCCGACTTTGGCCTCTCCAAGATGGAAGACCCCGGCAGCGTGCTCTCTACAGCCTGCGGGACCCCAGGATACGTGGGTGCGGAGGGCTGTGGGCTGGGACTGTGGGCGGGGGAGGAACCCAAAGCTGCCGAGCAGATTTGTCACCACCATTTCCCCTTCCCTCCACAGCCCCTGAAGTGCTGGCCCAGAAGCCCTACAGCAAGGCAGTGGATTGCTGGTCCATTGGGGTCATTGCCTATATCCTGTGAGTGGGGGGCTTGGCCGTTGGGGATGTGGCTTCAGAGTTCTCTCCCCTACTTTGCTCTCTGCCTCCCCCCTGCCATCTCTTCTTTCCTGCCGTCCATATTTATATCTACCAATTAATGACTAATATTACTTCACTCAACAGATACTATGCTTCTGGCACCGTGCCAAGCACTGGGGCTTCAGCAGAGAATAAGACAGACAAGGTGCCTGCCCTCAGGGAGCAGACATGCTAGTAAGGGAGACAGAAAATAAATAAATCTATAAAATAATGGCGGGTAGTAAGAAATATTAAGAAGAAAAATCAAGCAGGGTGGGGAGATGGGGATGGATGCTATTGTAGATAGGAGGTCAGGGAGCCTCTCTGAAGAGGTGGCACGAGTGGCATCCTGACTGAAGTGAGGGAGCCAGACATTCGAGGTGTGGGGGGAGAATGGTTTGGGCAGAGGGCACAGCAAGTGCAAAGGCCCTGAGGTAGGACAGATGGCGGCATGTTAAGGAACAGAAAGCCAGGGTAGCTGGACAGGAGTGAGCAAGGCAGAGAGGGGTAAATTTCCCCCCTTTGTAAAAGGGGGAACTCATTCCTGTGGGTCCTGCCTGATCCCTGAGTCTGCCCCAAAGCTCCATCCCAGAGCCAGTGGGTACAATGAAAATGGAAATGAGAATGAGTTTCTCCTTGCCCAGGCTCTGTGGTTATCCCCCCTTCTATGACGAGAACGATGCCAAACTCTTTGAACAGATTTTGAAGGCCGAGTACGAGTTTGACTCTCCTTATTGGGACGACATCTCTGACTCTGGTATTTGGGGCTTTGCTTTCTTCCCCTGGGTCCTACCTCCGGTGCCTTCCTCATCTGCTTTGGGGGTCTCCTCTCTGCCTTCCTTCCACCAGATTCCCCAGCCCCAGACTAAGAGCTGTCTTCGAGACCAGACACCCACCCTGGGTGCTTCTCTTTGCCTGGCTCCTGGCCTGAGAAACTGTAGGCTTTCATTCATTCGGTCTTCAAACATAGTATTTTAGAAAATACCTCCCCCCGCTGACTTCCTAATGCCTAAGACACCACCATTCACGTTTTTATCTGTCCTCCTGTGCCTCCGATTAGGAGGCAAAGCTGTGAAGCCATTATCAGTCATGTACACGTCAGTGTGAATACACTGAGCAATATCTTCTCTAGGAACAAGTTATTCTTAAGGGAGAAAGCTGGAGGGTTGGGGTGGGCCTGGGGGCTTAGAGAAGAGGGTGCAGGTGGGGTGGGGTGGTGAATGGACAGATCTGGCTTCGGTGCTGGCCAGACCTGAGGGGTGGGTTCTATCTCGGGGGTGTTCTCAGGCACCGCCATGCTGTCTTTGCTCTTGTCTTGGGGATTCAGCCAAAGACTTCATCCGTCACTTGATGGAGAAGGATCCAGAGAAGAGGTTCACCTGTGAACAGGCCTTGCAGCACCCCTGGTGAGAGCTCCCACAAGCTGCGGGTTGGGGTGGGATCTGGGGCCCCCCAGGCCTGCCTCTACCTTCACTGACAACCCTCCACACACATCCGCTCTAGGATTGCAGGAGATACGGCTCTAGATAAGAATATTCACCAGTCGGTGAGCGAGCAGATCAAGAAGAACTTTGCCAAGAGCAAGTGGAAGGTGAGCCCATGTTCAGTCCTGGGTCCCAGCCTCCCCAGGACTCCTCCCCAGCCCCATCCAGCCCTCAGCTCACACAGCAGCTCGCACCTCGTGGGGCACACTGTAAATGCTCAGGGGTGCTTACTGAAGAACCTCATTCATTCATTCAATGCTCTGTGACACCTACTCTATTCCAGTGATGGTCCCTGACCTCCAAGTCTAGAGGGAGAACAGTGTATACTTCTTAAGGAGACATTGAACCCAAGCTACGAGGTCCTGGAAGGGGCATAAACCTGTCAGACGTGATAGCCGAGTAGGAATTAGCTGGGCACAGCAGAATAATGTCTGAGGCAGACGGAACCAGGGTGCAAAGGGCCAGGAGATGTTGCGAGTGCAGCCATTCAGGGCAGTGCAAGCGCTATGCCTGGCTGGACTGGAGGAGCTGTGGGGCAGGAGCCCAGGCTGCAGACCCAGGTAGGGGCCGGGCTGCTCGGGGGCTTGAGTGCCATAGTGGAGCAATGACTTGATCCTGAGGAGGCTGAGGAGCCCCAGAAGGATTTTCAGCTGGAACTTGCCCATTAGAAAGGGCTCTCAAGATGCAGAAAGGCACAGTGGAGGCTGGGAGACCCTTTAGGGGGCTGTGGCAGAGACACAGTCAGGAGATGGTGAGGGCTTGGACCAGAGCAGTGGCAATGCGAACAGAGAACACTGGTTGGTCCAGGAGTCGTTTGGGAGGCAGAAATGACAAGAAGTGATGGTAGAATGGATATTGGGGGAGAGAAGAGATGTCCAGGGCTGGCCCAGGATTTTGGTCGGGGACGAGGTGGATGGCGGTACCATCACTAAGATGGAGATCCCAGGGGCAGAAACTTGTTTTAGGGGATGATTTTGGTTTGGGACATGGTAAATTTGAGGGACATCTCAGTGGATAGGTTGAATAGAGAATGATACACACACACCTGGGCAAGTCAGTTAACCTCTCTGTGCCTCAGCTTCCTCCTTTGACAATGGTGAGAGTAATAGTGCCCACCTCAAAGACATTCGTGAAGATTAAATGAACTACAATGTAAAGTGCTTAGAAGAGTGCCTGACACATAATGCTATATTGTTTACTATTATGTGAATATAAATTAATTATATATAACAAGTTACACACGTCTATCTATATATACATTTTATACATGTGCGTGTGTGTATTACTATATGATATGACTGAATATAATTTAATAAAGCCTTGTAGACGTTTCAGGGAGTTTTAGGCGATCAGCCAATATCGCCTGAATAAAACTAACAGAACTGCTGCGAGAATTCCACCGCCAGACCCTGCCCCGTGATGTCCCACTCTCTCCCAAGTCCCTTCTTCCGCCTCTCTCCACAGCAAGCCTTCAATGCCACGGCCGTGGTGCGGCACATGAGGAAGCTACAGCTGGGCACCAGCCAGGAGGGGCAGGGACAGTCGGCGAGCCACGGGGAGCTGCTGGCCCCAGCAGCTGGGGGTAAGGCCCTGGGCTCTGTGGAGGGCAAGGGTGGTCCAGAGAGAGGCATCCAGGCTAGAGCAGAGGGTCTCCTCCTGTGGCCAACTCTGCTTTCTCTCCCCGTGTAGGGCCGGTGGCCAGCTGCTGCTGTCGAGACTGCTGCGTGGAGCCGGGCCCGGAACTGTCTCCCACACTGGCCCCCCAGCTCTAGGGGCCTGGATCCCCCGTGTAGGAGGGGTTGGGGGCAGCCTGCTCCCCCTCTCTTCCTGAACTGGGGAGTTACCCTGCTCCACCTGCTCCGCACCCCTT